TGATCCTTGCGGCAATGTTGTTGTAAATGTGTAACCTAATTTTGTTTAGTTTGATGCCAATTTTTTTCCGATCCGTTTGATTGCGAAGATGAAATTTTGGTGGAAAGAAAACGAATTTTAGGAAATTAAACTGTCTAAAAATTATTTTCCTAAAAATTGTAAATTATTGTGTGTTATTGGTATAATTTTTCACGTGAAATTCATTGAAATAAGAGTACTTTTTGTATTCATTTGACTTTATTTTAAATAAAAATTGTCAATTAAAAAAATAAATTTTACTGATTGATGAAATTTGTTTCCACTGCAAAAATTTTATTAAAAAAAAAATCTACTTTTCTGTGTTCGTTTGACTTTGTTTTACATAAAAATTGTCTATTAAAGAGAAATATTTTTTACAATTACAGATAAAATTTATTTCCATTGCTTAAAAAAAAAATTGCTACAGTAACCCAAAAAACCAAGAAAAATTATATGTGACAAGGCAAACAAGAATTTCATTTCCACGGAAAAAAACCATCAATCACCCTTATCTCTCCTATCAAACACACCCTTAGTTTAAAGTTCATTCATTCAAAGCAAGTACCATACACTTGACTGGACTCAAAATAATGTTAACATTAACGTTAAAAAACTCGTCATAGCATCAAAGTAGCAGACGTCGCACACGAAAATGAAAGACATTCGCATGATTTTTTATAATTAGCCAGAATTTAGCAAATTGATAGAATACAGCACAGGATCAGGTCAGAGAAATGGAAACCGTTTGAAAATTTTCCCATAACCATAAGAGTTATCTTGTCCACTTCAGCATACATCTAACCAAAGCTATTAAAAGAGAAGCTACAGTACTCACAGAATCCCAGCTTCTACCCAGTAAAACAAAAACTTTTATCCTTCATTTCAGTAGCAGTACCTTTTATACTTCTCCTCGAAAACTGCTCGATTAACTATTCCTAAAGCTTTGTGGGTTAGATGAGGGTCAGCTTAAGAGAAATTACTGTAAATGACATGTTAATAGGATTGGTGAGGCCATATGAAAAAATCGGCAGGTGACGGCATGAATGGCATTGGAGTTACCATGTTCGCGGCAGCACCAGAAGCAGCAGACACACCTGCATTGGTTGGATGGAGGTGGTGGAATAAGTTGACATCAAATGGTATTCCACATGGGATGGTGGACACTGGCTGTTGTAGGGACGCAAAGTTGATGCTGTTGCTGCTCGACTGTATTTGAAGGTCGGCGTTAGTAAGAGGTTTCTCTTTGGCTTCGAGTGAGAGTTTCAAGCGCTTGGCCGTCCCGCCAACAGGAAGGGGACTTTTAGCAATGCTATCGACATCATAGCGACTCATCTCAAAATTGGTCACTGCGCTCGCTCCCCTAAACTTTATTGCAGCTATATCATATGCCTCAGCTGCTTCCTCCTCAGTAGCTGCCATTAAAATGAAATAACATCAGTAAATATGGACCGTTCACGAATGCTACTCTTCCAAAGAGCAAAGAAGATGGTTTCAACTTGAAATTCGAACAAAATGGAGTGATGTATACCAAATGTTCCAAGATAGAGATCTTTATTCCCAGCAACACGACCAATTCTTGCTTGCCATCGACCTTGCTGATGATGCCTGCATAAATTGAGCTATTAATTTGGGAGGACAGATGAATCTTTGATAGTTCTTCCTAAAACTATAAAATGTGTTTTGTAAGATATATGACAAAGGCTATAAAAAATTATTTTGAGACCTCGTAACACCCCTGTAAATTGACGCTCCCCTTGAGAAACCGCTACTTTTCCTGAAGTTATTATCAAAATTCAGTTCAGTTCAACAAGAAAGAGACATAATGGCCAAGCAAAACAAGTTCAGCTATATTTCAGGCCGTTGGTCTGTAAAATTAACAAGGGACAGAGCGTGCAAACCTTCTTAGCGAGGCAATGAACTCTTGTTTAGTTACTTGCTTCATATCCTCCAACTCTTTGGTGTAATTTGTGATCTGAAGGGAGAATTTCTCTGGTTAGAATAGACAAATTACAAATAATATGTTTGGTAATGTGAACTAGACAATTGTACCCAAATTCATTAGTATAAACAGTAAAAAAGTTTACCGGGAAGTTGGTGGTGGCAGTTACACCCCAGTATTTCAGGGCTGCTAAATCATAAGCTCTTGCTGCCTTATCTTCCTTGTCATACCCACCTATATGTCCCATAGATCTCATCACAAGTATCGACAGCACAAAAATAAATCACAACACATATGATCGCAAAGGAGGATAGATTTGAACTCGTAAATTACTTACCCAAGTACACTGCAGAAGTTTCACATTTTGATCAACAGCCAAGAAATACAATCCACGATTCCATGCATAAAAACAACAGACATTACATTAAAATCATGTCATATCCATACTCAAAATAGAACTACCGAAAAATTTAGAAAAAGAAGATTCATGCAATGTAAGTGCATGCAAGATTTCTTTATTCCACAACTATGACACAAGATCAAGATGGAGCCTGAATCTATTTGGGTTGAGAAAAGAAAGATCCTGATATTTTCTTGTAGATCATTGTGATATTTACTTGTACATGCAATCCCTTTCCAGCTGGTACTGTATGACCTACGTCTTCCCAATTTTTCCACATCAATTGTTCACTCAGTGAGTAGCCGCAATCTAAACGACCAAGAAGCTTACATAGCTATAGCAAGGAATTAATAACTTTAATATTCAGGAATCTACACAAAACATTAGAGTCCATATGTTGCAGTCCTGAAGTTTCAAGTGGTACCATATAGTGTACTGCTTGAAGCAAAGCTACGAAATTTCTCCACTTCAGTGTGCTAATTAGCAGTGCAATTATCAACTCAGAATAACTTAATTGACAAAAGTTCACTAGTAAAATTATTTTTTTTTTCCCCGAAATATTAGCATAGTCTGATCATTAATATTATAAGAATACTAAACTAGCGAGTCAAGAAATGGATAAGTACATTTAGGCCCCCCTTTGGCCCCGATTATTTGGGTTTGTAATGGGGGAATAGTGTTTTTTTGAAAAAAAAAAAAAAAAAAAAAAAAGGGAATAAAAAAAAAAAAGAAAAAGATGGTACTAAAAGAAAGTTTTCGATTTGTGTATAATATTATTTTATTCAAGATTGGTCGAAAAATGGAGAGAAAAATTTAAATTAATTTGAAGAGTTTTAAAAGGGACCAAATGGGTATAGGTAGGATATTTTTGGGGAAAAATTTGTGTAGACCTAGAGCATGTTGAACATGCAAAGCAATTATAAAAATGAAAAAGAGTGTGAACCATCAAAATAAGGTGAGAAAGTGATAGCTTGGTCAAACCCATTGAGTCATATCTGCAGTAAAGAAAAAGGCAAAAGTTGGAAAGCAAACAGATATTCAGAATTTTCAGGCATTAGCATTCAGACTACCTAAGGTCCATCTATGAAAAGAATAATAAAATATTAAAGAATGTAAAGAGAACACCCGACCCCGTTCCACCTCCACCACCAAACTTGAACAAAATGGCCGCCCATTTGATCAGTCTAGTGAAAGATTGAATGAAATTTAGCAGAAAATATAAAGTACAATCAATCAATCAATCATCATAAAGGTCTGATTGAGCCAAGAAAAACTCTTCATCAGTCTCCTTTGCTACCTGAGTCTGAGTCTCAGTCACCTGCGACTCCATTAATGTCCCATTAATGCATGTTTATGCAAATTTACAAGACCTTTAGAAAAAGGATATTTTTATTCTTCCCAAAAAAGTACAACTCATCAGGATTTAGAATTTGTACCTTGACGCCCTTTTCTTGCTTGGCCCTCTCTTCTACAGCTGTTATCCCATAGATGCGCTTCATATCTTCCTGTCCACCGGTGTCTGTATCAATCAAAAATTAATAATCAATAAAATATTATTTCTTCAATAGTATGGAAAAAATGTAAATCAAAATCAAAATCAAAATCAAAATGAACCTTGTGACGCCCCTGTAAATGGAAGTTCTCTGACCAAAAGTATCTGTAACTCTCTTGCTACTCTCGGAGTCAACACAAACAATGGCTTTGTTATTACTCTCAGAGAACTGTGCATTGTTATTAACACCCAAGGATAAAGCATTAGTAGTATTGGCGGCGGCAGCACTAATGGGGCACTGTCCGTAAGCCACCAGCTCGCTCCCTGACTCAACAGGGGACTGAGTATGACCTGTGAACGCCGAGTCATCAACCTCCGAGCCCGAGTTCGCAGGAAAGGACTGAAAACCAGTAATGGTCTTGAGATGTTGCTGCTCATTGTTACTGAAGTAGGCATCGCCGCCACCTGTCTGGTGGTGTTCGTAGATGTGAGTCAGGGACGAATCTTGAATCTCCGTCGAGTCGCCACCCAAAAAATCCTCAAGTTTAGGCGGTGGCTGCATGTTTTGGTGCATATATGGGTCCATGTAGCTGGTGAAATTGAAGAAGTTGTTTTCCTTCACCTGATGGTTTTCAGCGTCTGAGTACATGGCTTGAGGTTTCTGGTTATACCACCCTAAAGCAAGAAAATAAGGGTCAGTGGGTCACCAAATGATAATTAATTTCCAGGGTTGTCAATGAAATATATAGGAGAACGAAAAATAATAAAGAAGCTGTAGCATTAAATGGAAATACCAAAAATTAACTGAATAATGGTCGAGTCCAGTAAAAAAACAACTGGGATGAGTAAATGTACATGGATTTTTTTGAAGAAAAAATTCCAGTAACGGAAATGCCAGAAACAAGTTTGAAATTTTGTCCTTTATCCACCTTTTCAAACCTATTTTACTCAGTCACCAAACAGAACCGGTGGAGTTTTAGTTCAAATTTTAATACGCTATTAAAGTATTGGATAAGCTACAAGAAAATCTGATAAATAGATAGATACAAGAATTGTATGTATATCTCTGTGTGTTTAATTACCGTTGACATCGAAGTTATCGGCGAAGGAGTAAAGGCGGTGAGAACCAGAAGCAGAAGAGGCTTCAAATGGTGCAAGTTCCATGGTGGACTGAAGGGGAGCCTGCGACGAAGAGTTGAGCATTTCCATTGAAGATAGAGAAAATGAAAGCCAGTTGTTTTCTGGTGCCATTTTTTTTGTTTCTTTTCTTCTCAAACCCTAAAGATTTATATCTCAGATTTCTTCAAAAATCTTTATCAGGAATACCCCTAAAAAATCACACAAAAATACATAAATTTTACTCCATAAATTAGAACTGCAAATCAAACCCTAAGATGAGGAATCATTGTACCTCATTATCAAGAATCCATTAATACATGAACGTGACCCCGTATCAGTTTAAGCTCCAAAAGGGTAAACGTAAAATGAAGTTTTATGATGGAAGTAAGTAGAAGAAACGCACATGCAGAGTAGAAGAAGCAAGAAAATTACTCAAGAACAGCTAACAGTCGACGCAAGCAAAAGCTTTAACATTGTAAGTAGGAGAGAGAAAGTGCACATATATATCGAGAGAGAGCAAGGGAAAGATTAAAAGAGGGGCAGGTGGAGGAATATAATGGGAGTGAGAGACGGTTTCATCTGCCATTCGGCGTAAAACTAGAGGGGACACTGCACCCAAATTATTATTTTTTCCTGGTTTTAGTAGAGAGGAAGGGCAAATTTGAAGTAATATAAAAGTGGAAAAAGATAAGAATAAGAGAAAAATGGGGAGAGAACAGTGACTTTTGGCTTCTGCGCCGAAGAAAATTTGTCTGAAACAAGAACGAGAGAGATCCGGGCTCAATGTCGGTTTTTCGAAATAAATTTAAAATGGAACTCTTCTATGTAAGTAGAATATATAAGTAAAGGGTTCGAAACATAGCCCCTTTTACCCACATTTTCCTTCTCATTCTTTTTCCCTCTCTTATTTTCAACCGCACAATTTTTCATAAAATAATATTACATGTAAATCAAAAAAATTTTGTTCTTTTTCAATTATACATTTTTCAAAAAAATATTGTTCCAACTATTAAAATTTGGATAGAATGGGGGCCAAACAGGGACATAGTTTGGCCTAAACTAGGGTTGGCAACGGTCCGATTATGGGTTGGTTCGGCCAAAACTATAACAGCACCACCAATTTTTTTTACTATACCATAACCGCATCATAACCACGTAAATCAATTCGATTCGGTTTGATTATTATCTCGGTTCGATTCGATTAATAACCACAAAAATAAATTATTTTTTATAACTTCATCTATCAAATTGATATAAAACAATTTATAAAAAAAGTAAATGAAAACAAAAACACAATAATTTAAACGAAAATGCAAACATTATCAAACAATATTTCAAACGAAAAGCAAACATTAGCCCAATTTTTAATTGTAAAATACAAATTTAACAAACAATATTATAAATATAACAATACTAAACTTTTCCTTCATTTTTAATTATTGTGCATCGAAATTATTTGATTCATTCTTCCCCATAAATCTTACTAGCATAGATCAACACTCAAAGTTAATTCCTATATAGTAAATAAAAAATGTAAGTAGAGAATACAACGATATCTATTCTAGAATGGTTTTAACTAAGATTTAAATAAAAAAAATATACATCTTCGTCAACTTTCTTCTCGCTAAATGTTGCACAAGATTTAGAGTATGATGAAGAAATAGAATTTTCTACACACAATTGAAAAAAATTAACAATAAAAGGAGCCGTGCGTGAGTTTGTGATTTGTGAAGAGTAGGGTTTGCATTTATATAATGTCATAGTAATGCTATTATTATGGGCGAATGATAAGTGGGTTGGTTAGCTGAGTCATGTAGATGTAATTGGGGGGGAGGGGGGGATTTTGTTTTGGGTTAGATAGAAAAGTAGGGTAAAGCCCAATAATCAATTCAATTATTATTATTATTATTTTTTTGTTCGGTTTCGGTTCGACGGCGTAAATACCATACCCGCACCGCCAAGAACTGGTTCATTAAAATAAAAATCATATCCGCCACATTGCACCATCGGTTCGATTTCTTTTGCCTCATTCGGTTCGATTAACCCTGGTTTTCGATTTTGACGGTTCAAACTGTCATCCCTATTCTTAACCCGAAATGAAATGACTGGGGAGGGGAGAGAAAAGGTTCATTTTTTTTTTGACTGACTTATTTCATATCATGGTTTGGGCGTTAAAATCGGTGTGGGACCCTATTCACCTCTTTGAGCTTCTATTGAATCGAGAAATAGGATTGATTGGTGCTCTAATTCAACCTTCTATCATCTACTGACCCTTTAGACAAGTTAACTTCTACATCCGACCAGATGTCGTAAACCTCTTCCAGAATTATTGTGACATCAAAATCTGCAGGAAGGCCATGGAGAATCCTCATGAATACATACAGGCATTTATCATGTTGTGCGAAGTGATCAACTATGAGGGAATGACAAAGGATGCATTTTGAATGCTACAATTCCTCCATACTCTGAAAGAAATCGCAAAAGCATGAATATTTTCTCAACCTTCTATAAGCATATAGTCATAAAACGATATGCTTCGAAAATTCACCAAAAAGTTCTTCGTGCTCACTCAAGTTCATCAAATTCGAAATGAAATCTATATATTTAAACAGAAGTACCACGAGAGCTATCCTGAAGCATGGGAATGTATAAGAGTTTATATTGAAAGTGTCACAATCTAAACATTCCTAAGCAAGCTCAAGCGTACCTCTTCCACTATGGTATACATCAGAAGTTCAAAGAAATAGTAAATGCTTTAGCGGGAGGACCTATAATGACAATGGATGTGGACAATACTTATGAACAGTATGAGAAAATAGCAGAAAATCAACCGATGTGACTGAAAGATTAAGAAGTTTAGAGGAAAACAACTAATATATGTATTGTGAACACAATGACAACGTTGGCAACACAGATGGAGGTAATCATGAGAAAGCTTGACACTTTGACTCATTCTGTGAATATGGTACAAACTTCAAATCGGGTGTACATAGGTTGTGGGGTAGATCGCATTACTGGAAGTTGCCCTTTGGCTTCTACTCACATGGGTCGGTCAGCAGATGTCAATTATGCACAAAACATCCAGTGGCAACAGATCTACCCAACAATTACCATCCAGACTAGAATAAAAGTCAAACTTCTCATGGGCTACTAATCAAGGGCAAAATTATCGTAATTGCCCATCAGGCTTCCAGCAGCAACGACAACATCAGCAAGAGCGAAGACCTGCACTGAAATTTACCATCTCAGCACATTATAAAAAACTAAGACCAATTTTCAGATCAGCAGGCTTCTATCAAGAATTTGGAACATCAGGTGGGACAGATACATTATCTAGCAACACAAAGAAAAATCAACGAGAGTAAGTACTAGCAGTTGGTGCAATGAGTTTCGAATCTAAAGAGTCACCATCATTCATCCTTGCAACTTAGGTTCAGGCCATCACCGCTGAAGTGGAATTTAGCTATCGAATATTACTACAAGAAGGAACGAGACTGAGGATACTCATGTATCTATAAAGGGCAAGGAACGTGTAGAGTATTTTGAAGGATCAACAAATGCCTTTGGAGAGTCCAGAAAGCCGAAATAAAAGTTCCTATCAAAGCACTTGCACACGCAGTCCAATTTTCTCAAAGGTTGAAAAATATCAAGCTGGAAAAGTTGTTCACAATGTTCTTGGAAGTCCTCAAAAAGCTGCATGTTAACATCCCTTTCATTGATGTGATCCTTCAAATTCCAAATTACTAAAAGTTATTAAAGGAAATGTTAACTAAGAAGTAGAAGCTGCCTGAGCATAAAACAATAATTTTATCTAAGGTGTGTAATGCGATCATTCGGCACAAGATCTCTTCCAAACTTAAAGATCCGGAAAGTTTCGCTCTACTTCACTCCATAGGAATTTACATGATATATTATTTAATTGATTCATGAGCGATTATTAATTTAATTTACTTGCCTCTTTATAGGAAATTAGGATTAGAATATCCTAAGGTGCATGTATTATCCTTCAATTGGAGGATTGATCACCGAAACACCCATACGGAACAGTCAAAGATGTTCTTATCAAAGCAGGCGAGTTCATTTTTTCTGACTTACTTCATCATCATGGACATAGAAGAGGCATATCAAATGCCAATAATCTTGGGAAGGTCATTGTTGTCTACAAGCGAACTTTGCTGGATTTTGATACCAATGAGATAGTCCTAGGGGTGGAAGATACGTAACAGAGCTTCACAATGGAAAATCCAATCAAGCAACCATCATACTTTGACAATTGCCAATGAGTAGATCATCGAGAGAGCTACACATCAAGCCAGTCGAAGGTGGAATTGTTGGTAGGAAACCAATGTAAACTTGATTATGTGGAAGATGATGCAATAAGTGCATAAAGTGTAGGGCTGAAAATTCTCTTTTCAAGCCACTATGAAGAGCCTAGGTACAACAAGAGTCAAGCTCGGGACTTTAAACAAGCGCTTGCTAGATGTTTTATCTCTTTTATTTATTATGCTTTCTAGACTTAAGATAATTTAGAATAGTTTTTATTTAATTATTAGGAACTTATCATCCATTTCCCGTTTCTCCTTAGTTCATAAAAATTTATTTGGTTTATTAGATGTTTGAGGTTGATAACACATGTTCCAGGTATTTGATCTTTAATACTTTATCTAACTGCATGTTGCAAGAACATAATATCACGGAATACTTAAACCAACATTGACCAAGGAGATAACGGGGCAATCGAAAAAGCTAGCCATCAAATTTCATGTCATATCAGGGGAGTGTTTTCTTCCTAACCCCTTTGTATGTAGACTTAGGAGTTAAGACATTGGGGACATTGTCTAATTTAAGTTTGCGGGTGGAAACACATGAGTTTCTTTTGTTTTGTGTTTTTTTATGTGTTTTATTGCTCTAAATATTAAAGAAAAAAGTGATTAAAAATTAGAAATTTTCAAAAATATTTTCTTTGTGCGTACTTGTGTGAGTTAGTTAGCCACTAACAATGAAAAATATATTTAATTATGAATTAATTTATAAATGGTGAATGGATTGCATGTTTAAGTTAGTTTTTATTTTTTCATGTAAAATTTGATATATATTGAGCACGTGAATTAAGTTAAGCATTGTGTAGGAATGGGTTGATTTCGTAATTGGATAGGTTGAAATAGTAGACCATAGATGGTAAATCCAAAATAACTTTATTTTACATCCTTAGATTAAATTAGAATAGTTTGGAGGGACTTCACCTTTGTAAGAAGATACGGAAATAAATGGAGATTTCAAGTGTGAAATTAAAAAATTTATGGGGATTGTCTGAAGTTAATAGGATGAAACTTAGTGAAAGTCTTAAGTTAAAAGTCGTTTTACTTGGTTATGTATTTAATGAGGAACATTGCACTAATCAAGGCATAAAAAAATATTTTATTTAAAAGTTTCTCTTCGTAGCCTTTATAATTCGAGTTATTAAGCATGTAAGTTGTTAAAATCCGTTGCCCTGAAGTGAACTGATTTTGGAGTCATTGGCCTAAAGTTCGCTAAAGGGTTATTTAGAAAGTTTAAGGGAGAGAATGCTACAAATAAAGAAAAAATATTGAAATAAAAATTGAAAAAATAGAAAAAGCAAATGCATGAAATAGAAGACTCGCTGAATGCATTGGTTAAGTCTAAAACACTTGTTTAAGAAAATTTAACTTTTAATAAGGGATTATTAGTCTAATTGAGTTCTGGAGATTGAAGCAATAAAAAAATGGAGAATCTTTGTTTACTAACATATTGA